GGGGGGGAGGGAGGGAGGGAGGGAGAGAGAGAGAGAGAGAGAGAGAGAGAGAGAGAGAGAGAGAGAGAGAGAGAGAGAGAGAGAGAGAGAGAGAGAGAGAGAGAGAGAGAGAGAGAGAGAGAGAGAGAGAGAGAGAGAGAGAGAGTTATATGACAAGTAAAGGATCTTAACATTGGATATTCCCATAAGAAAGTTTGTTGCATTACCAACCATCTCCTCTGGATCAGGTGATCTATCATCATATGAAAAATTTTCCTCAACAATCTGATAACTTGTCATTCGAAGATTAAGACTAGCTTCAACAAGGGAACTAAACTCCACCTTTGGATACTTGTCTGCAATAGTATTTAGAGTATTTGAGGTAGACAAGATTTGGGGTACTAAACGACACACTATGGTGAGTTTCATCAAAAGTCCTTGAACGATAAACCTTTAGTTTCTTGAGAGTGTCATGAGAAACATAACAAGATTGGTTAAGGTCGAACAAGTTGTTAAGAATTAACTCTTCCAAAGCCTGAAAACCCGAAAAAAACTTACGAAAGTCACTGTTTGTCACCATGATATGGTCAAGACACAGTGTCCTAACCTTTGGAAAAAAACATCTTTCACCTTATCAATGGTGAGAACATCTCTAACTCCTAGTTTCAACCTAACTAAAGTCTCACTCATAAACATCTCTGAAGGAAGTGGACAACCCATTTCAGAAGATATGTTTAACTCAAGATCTAACACACCATGTTCCAAAACCTTGAGTAACCAACCAATGACAATAGCTGGATTAATAACACCTTTACACTTGAGAGAGAATCTGTTCAAAGGAACATGTTGGTGCAATACCAACACTCTATCCACAAAATCCACAAAACTCCTAGGAGTTTCACTCTTTTTTCTTCTTCAAGTAATCTTCTTTCTGTTACCCTTTCCAGGATTCAGATAGAAAGAGTCGTTGAAATCAAGATTAGGTGTAAGAGCAAAGACATATATCCACCTTTTCGCTAGAACAGAAGTGGATGCAGCTTCTTTAGTGGAAACGAAAGACAATATGTGGCTTATAATACAATATGGTAAGAAATACAATATGGTAAGCCGCTGATGTAATCTTCCGAACCAAGATTCAACTTTTTGGAAGACATAGCGTTACAAGATCAGCCTGAAACAAAAGCACATGAGAGTAAGACATTTCGGACAAATACTTTTTTCATTTAAAAGTTCTAAAAAATCACTAACAACAGCTAGAATAGAAATTTTAAACACAAAAGTGGCTAAACATCACTAACACAGGCTCACAACAAAGAAGGGACAAAATCAGAAGAAGGAAACTTACTGAGAGATTAAAAACAGAATCTTGGAAACATTTAACCTGAAACTGAGAAGGTTGGAATCGTAGAGGGAGAGAGCTGTTTATGCAGTCGTCGCTGCAAGTGAAAGTGAGAGTACCTGAAGACAGATCCAGCAGAAGATCTGAATAGAGCTTAGAAACAACAGACGCCATATGGGAGAGAAGCTTGGGATCTGAGCCGTCGTCCTCTTCCTCTGTCTTCTTTGTTTCCACTAATAGNCCTGAAACTGAGAAGGTTGGAATCGTAGAGGGAGAGAGCTGTTTATGCAGTCGTCGCTGCAAGTGAAAGTGAGAGTACCTGAAGACAGATCCAGCAGAAGATCTGAATAGAGCTTAGAAACAACAGACGCCATATGGGAGAGAAGCTTGGGATCTGAGCCGTCGTCCTCTTCCTCTGTCTTCTTTGTTTCCACTAATAGGATTTGCTGCCACCGCTTTCGACGCTGCTCCACCTTGTCACCGGAGATGAGATAGAGAGCCAATACAAGAAAACATCGATTTTGCAACTATAGGATTAGTTACTAAATAGTTGTTAATATGTGTTTTGCAACTCATTTGCGACTACAACATATAGTTAGAAAAGCTTAGTCGCAAATGGAAAGGGTTGCAACTTAGTTGGAAATTTGTAACTAAAGTGTGACGGCGAAAAGAGTGATACTTTAGCCACTGTATTACGACTCAGAAAAAAGTTGCTAGTTGTTTATATATTTGTTACTACTTAGCAACTTGTACGTTTGTCAATACCGTTCCAGTTGTTTATTACTAAGTAGCTACTGCTTTTAGTTTTATATAATAGTATCAATCTAGTTGCAAATTTAGTGACTAAATAGCAACTACTACATATTCTATTGGCAGTTGCAATATAGTCACAAACTATAGTGACTAATTAGCAACTACAGTATTTATATGTAGTCGCATTGTAGTCACAAAAATTTGTGTCTAATTAGCAACAATAATAATTCTATGTAGTTGCAAATTAGTTTTGAAAAATATATAATTGTTCAGATAAAAAACCTAATCTAATTTCGAAAATTAATACAGCTTAGTTTAATGGAAATTTGAATTTCAATAATATATTTTAGTTCTTTACAAAATAAGATCCAAAATACAAGATACAAAAGGCAAAATATTTAGAATTTCTTTCTACAAAACAAAAGCTATCTTAGGTAGGTAGTTGGTTATGGCAATAGTAGGTGCTGGTTCGGTCGGAGACTTGGCGGACATATACTCTGAAAATATTGGATCTTTACCTCGCATATAGCTGAGAAGCATCTCTAAAGTGCTGATTTGGCTTTGATGCTCTGCAGCTCCTGCTGCATTTTTAGTATCTAGTCGAGCATTAGCGGCTGCTTGCTCTTTTTGTTAGAATAAAATGGAGGAAAGGCTACCAAGTCCAGACTCATGTCCTCTCATGTCCAAAGTAGTAGAATGAAAATCATCAAAACGTAACATATTAATACTTATAATATCAAAATTATAAAACAGTTTACCTCAAGAAATATCTTGTTCATTTCAATTGGGCCAAGCTCTGGAACTTGGGAAGTATCATCACCATTCACCCAAGTCCTCATTCTGGAAAACTTCTCCTCTACTTTTCTTTCATCCGACTTAAACAAATGATCTCAGACTCATCTCGTACAAGCACAGTGATCGAGCTATCCCGATGGTGTCCTTTCTTAAATATGTGTTAGTTAAGTTAAGAAATGTTTTACCGCAAAGTCTTGTCTTCAAAGTATAGATGTTGGATGTTCTTGGGCGTTTCTGTGCAGCAGTAATACGGTCCACCAAAATTGGCTTTCAAGAGCGTTGAGATCTTTCGGGTCAGCTTTCAACCACCACGATCAAACCTACAAAATGATAAAACCAAAGTAGCCACAAGTAAGAAACTATAGTTAACTAGTTATACCTCAAAGAATTGGAAACTAAATCAACCAAAAATGAACCATATAGCACGATGCAACTACAATTTGACAATTATAAAGTAAACAAAACTTACAATCTTAACTTCACTAGAAGTTTAGAAATGGAACAGGACTTATAAGTCACACACAAAAAAATCAATAAAGATTAAAAAACTACAGCAAAATGTTAGAGAAGCAAGTATATCAACAAAAAGTGGAGTTTGGTTCACAAACAACAATGAAATCAAAGTGAGCAAAAATAGATTTCCAAATCAAATCCACATCATCAAAGAGAGACCACATAATTTATTAGTAAACAACGAGAGCTACAAAAAAAAATTGAGACCCAAAAATCTAAAGTTCGATGCAAAGAATTAGAAGAGGACACTCTTTACCAAGTGGTACCCTCTTTTGGGATTGGAGATAAGAACGGAATTGCAAGAAGGTATGTACGCCGGAAGCCTAATCTCCCCTGGACTCCCACCGCGACCCCCGGTCCCCCACCGTGATTCCGCCACGACTCTGACCACGACCTTTCATCGATCTACCGATGGCAGACATTAGGGATTTCTTTTGTTAGTGAAAAAGAGAGAAAGTTTAGAGGAGGAAGAATACGGGAGTTAACTCGGAATGCCCCCACATTCCTCTCAAAAATTCCCTTTAACCTTTTATTATAATATTATATATTTTTTATTTAAATTTATATCGAAAAAGTGGCTAATTATGATTTTAATATAAAGACATGAGTTATTTACAGGATCCAACCACCAAGATCCGACCTAGACCAAGCAAACCGGACATATCCGACCCAAATAACCTTAAACGTCATCGTTTTGTGCTCCTTCTTCGACACTTTAATATCTCCCCCTCTCCTCCTTCGATAGAAGAAACGGCTCTGACGGCGAGAAACCCTAACATCCCCGCCTCCTCCATTTTCTTCGTTTCTTCTTCTTTCTCTATGACAATCGAGTTCGCCCATCTCGGAATTGAATTCCTGCATTTTTGTAAGTAATTTATTGTGGTTGATTTCGGTTTGATTTGTATTTTAGGTCAAAAAAAATTTTAGGGAAATTGGGAAAAACTTGTCAATTATTTGTATTTGACTAGTTTGTGATATGAATTCGGGGGATACATGGTGAAATTGTGCGATTTTATGTTATGAATATGTTATGATATAAACTAATTTGGGGATTGATTTTAGATGAAAATGTCCGATTTTGGTATGTTTTTTACTTAATAAGTTGAATTGGTAAGATGTTTGTTAAACCCGTGACTATAAATTAGGGTGAAAATATATATATGAATCGGATATGTTTGGTTTAAATGGGAGTGATAGCGAGTTGGTGATGAGAGTTAATTGATGTTGTGTTGTTGTTTGCGGTTTGGATTTAGAGTGATTGAGTGTTGTAATTTCTTGTACAGGAAAGTTATGAAGGGAAATCAAAAGGTGGCAAAGAAGAAGGGAGTCCCCAATGAAAGGCGTCGTCTATCTTTTAGGCCGAGACCGTCCCCTATTGCAAAAACACCTGTAGTTGCTGAAGGGAGTAAGAAGAGTAAGAAGACTAAGAAGAGTAAGAAGAGTACGCAAGAGAGAGAACCGAGTTACGTATCGCTCTCAGTGACAGATGAGTCCGAAAGGGATGGGTCCGAAAGTGAGGTATAGATTTTGTAGCATCCTTGTTAGTGTTGGTGATAAATGGTGATTTGTAATTAGTAGTACTGCTAGGCTATTTGTATTACTAGCATTACTAACATGTATATATGTATTTACAGAGGAGTAATAAGAGTACGCCAGTGACAGAACCGAGTCACCAACCGCGCTCAATGTCAGATGAATCCGAAAGGGAGGGGTCCGACAATGAGGTATATATTTTGTATTATTGTTTGTGTTAGTGAGAAATGTTGTTTTGTAACTAGTAGTACTAATACTTGCGCATACTAATATACTTCTTGTATTACTAGGATTACTATACTTCTTGTTTTACTAGGATTACTAGGATTACTAAGATTTCTTGTTTTACTATACTTACTAGCATTACTGAGACTTCTTGTGTGTATTTTCATTGCAGGAGGAAATGCAACCACCGCACCCCCTTGAGTTATGCTTTAAAAGCAGTGAGTTCACGAAGATGTGCAAGATACAAACGAAGTGTTATGTGAGCACGACAGTAAAAGTCATCAAGGAGACGCTTAAGAAGGATCAGACCGAATGGTTCACAAGACATTCTCAGTTTCGACACTTCTTTCACATGCCAGAGGAACCAAACCTTAAGCTCCAGAGGATGTGGATGTTACTCCTGCACGCAATTTGTACTCCAGAAGATGATGTTGCATGGTTTGCGGTTAATGGAATACCCATCCGCTATTCTATGAGGGAGCATGCCCTCATCTCTGATTTAGACTGCACTGAGTACCCGAGCAGATATAAGAAGATCGGTGGTACTGAGTTCGTGAATTACTACTTCCATAACATAGAGAAGATCACCATCACTGATGTGAAGCAGAAGCTGTTGTCTATGCCGGATTGTCCAGATAAATTGAAGATGGCGGTCTTGTTTTTCCTTGGTAATGTTATCAGAGGAAAACCAAGGTATGAGGGACATTTAGATGCCTTCATCTTGAGGATGGTGGATGATTTGGATGCTTGCAGAACATTTCCCTGGGGTCGTCTTACATTTGAGGATTCGATAAAGGAGATTAAGCGGGTGATGAACCATTTAAAGGGAGAAGTGAAAAAGATGCAGTCTTCTTTCCTGGTTTCATAGTCTCTTTAGAGGTAAGAATATAATTTTTATTTTTTAAATAAGTGACAAAAGTTTTTTTTATTATAAATTAATATCTGACATGTTTTTGTTCTATAGGTTCTGGCTTTTGAGTGTATTCCTGCTCTGGGGAAAGAGTTTAGAATCTATCAAAAGAATCCTTTTGCGGACTGTCCAAGGATGTGCAAGAGCCGGTTTACTAAGACTGGTCTGAAGGGTTATCCCTTGGAAGACATATACCGAGTGCTTGGAGACACAGAGGTACATGTTTACAATTATAGTAGATTGTTTATTTTTTCAGCCTTAAAACAAAAAAATTAATTGGTGTTAATTTTTTTTTTCCAGATTATTCACAGTGTGTTGGAACCAACTATTGGTGAGGAAATGTTGTTGGCTCGTATCATTGACTTGGAACGAGAGTCTGACCGTCAGGGGAGCCCAACCGAGACTTGGAACCACTGGTTAACTGTGAAGCGGAAGAGTATTTGGTGGGAAGAGTTGTATGAAAGAGATCAAGCTGCACGAGTGTTTACTAAGAAGAAGGAGAAAGAAAAGGTGGCGTCGGCAGAAGCATCATCCTCTGATTCGAGCTTGCAAGGTCTGCAACAGAGGCTTTTGGATTTTATGGGAGAAGCATTTGTTGGACTTAACCTAACGTTGGAGACAAAGCTGTAGGCTGTTGATTTGAGGCTGGGTGTAATTGAAAAGGAGCAGCGGATGTTGAGATCCATGGCTAAGAAAGTAGATAAAAGACTCACATCTATCAAGAGTAAGGTTGGTGAGAAACCAAATCTTGGTGAAGACATGGATTTTGGGCAGTGGGATGGTAGAGATTTTGGACAGCGGGATGGGAAGGAAAGAAATGATGCTGAGCAAGAGGGTGGGACACGTGATGAAGAAGGTGAGAAAGAAAAAGAAGATGCTGAGGAAAGCGGTAGTGAGACAGACGTAGAGTTGGAGCAACTTCACGAGAGAAATAGAGAACATGCTACAAACTTTTAGAAGGAGGTTGATGAGCAAGAAAAAAGGGAGTTGGCTGAGGAAGAAGAGAAAGCTGAGGAAGAAGAAAATGTTGGAAGGGAGTTGGCTGAGGAAGAAGAAAAAGCTGAGGAAGAAGAAAATGTTGGAAGGGAGTTGGCTGAAGAAGAAGAGAAAGCTGAGGACGAAGAGAAAGCTGAGGAATCTGAGAGTAGTGAGAAAGAGAAGGAGATGGAGAAGAGTGGAGATGAAGAAAGTGGAAGAATCAGAGGCTGAAGAAGACGAATCTGAGAGTATTGAGAAAGAAAAAAAGAAGGAGAAGGAAATGAGTGGAGATGAGGCAGATAACATTGTGGCAAGTGTTTTGTCTGAGATCAATGAGGCTCCGGTTGAGACTGCGACTCCACCACCACCACCACCACCACCACGTGAGACTTCAATACCACCACCACGTGAGACTCCAACAACACCAAAACGTGGTAGGACTAAGGCGCATGCTGCGAGGTTAACGCCAGAGAAGTGGCAGCAGTTAAAGCGTAAACCGCCACCAGTTGATCTGAACAAAAACCTTGTGGAGGAAGAAGAATTTGGAGGGAAAGAGGTACAAGAAGAGGATGTGGTCAATGAGGCTCCGGTTGAGGAAGTGGCAGCAGTTAAAGAGTATACTGAGGAAGAAAAACAAAGTTGGGTCATGGTGGTGGTTGAGGATAGGATGGATGGGGTAGATGAGGTAAGAGAAGCAGTGACGCGGCCTGAGATCTTGCCTAGATGCAAGGAGAAGACATAAACGTATGGAAAACCGACTGCTGGACCTAAGAAGAGGGGCATGCCAAGGACGAGAGCTGTTGATGCTGCACCTCCGATAACTGGGAAGAGGAAGTCTAAACCATCACAGTGGGTGCAGACTCCTTTCACGGCGGGGTAGAAGGGGAGGAAGAAGCCTAAAACAAAGGCTTAAACGTTTATGTATGGAGCTACCTTATGTATTTAGATGTTTTTTTTAAGTATTTTGGATGTTTGAAACTTGTAGGAGAATGCTTGTTTTTTTGTTGTTGCATGTTAAAACTGTGTTGAAATGTTGTTTTGGATCTTTAAGACAGGTAATGGAATAGCTGGGATAACTTGAATTATAGGTGTTACTCTGCCCAAAAATGAATAACTGTGATAACTGGAATTACTGGGTTTGTTGTAATGCAATAAAAATAGATGAAATGAATTTTTTTTTTAAATGAATTTCACATGTAAAACGTGCAGCCGTCAAATTTCTCATGTAAAACGTGCAGCCGTCAAATATAAATTTAGTAGTATACGTAACACTTAGTAATACGTGTAATAATCTCCAAGGTTGTAGTAATACTACTATACACATAGTAATACTTTGGCAATATTTACGTTTATCTAGTTAAACCATCGCAAAATCGAAGGTTTTGTAGTAAAACCAATGATTTTACCTAGTCAATCTTGTTACGGAAGACATTCGCATTAAAAAATTTCAAGGAATACATGTTTTGAAAAATTTTCTTCGCTATACTAGAACACTTAGTAAACTAATATAGAAAGTTAAGGATGTTTTTAGGAAACTGATAAGGTTTTTTTAATAATTGAAAATATTTATCAAAAATAGTATACATGTATATAGTTACCATAGACATAGCCTAGGAAGTGAAAACAATCATCAAAAAATAGTTTAAACGTACATCATTAACAATTTACCTAGTGATATATTTTGCATACGAATAACACATAATAAAACCAGAAATTCCCAGTAGTCCAGATTACACGTAGTAAAACCAGTAGTCTCAAGTAGTCCAAATTACACATAGTAAAACGAGTAATCAGCAGTAGTCCATATTACACATAATAAAACCAGTAAATCCTAGGTAGTACCAGAAGAACTTCCACATTCAAAATAAGATGCAAGACCTGCTCCTCTGGCTCTGCCTCTTCCTCTGTCTCCTCTAGCCCCCCCTCCGCCCATTTTTCCTCTTCCACGGGATTTTCCTACTGATGGAAATCTTGTTTGTTGTGGTTTTCCTTTCTTCTTTTCATAATCCGGGGGAATTATTTTCTTTGCTCTAATATCTTCTGGTATAACCCAATCAGACATATGACAAACATGATAAATTGTCCTGTGATAAGCCAAAGCCCATTGTTCCACTAATTAGTATTTCGAACAATACTCAGATAGATGACGTTCTCTTCCCGCTGCCTTTGCCATGAATGTGGCAGCAGCTACTCCATGCACGCAAGGGTATTTGTCTTTATCAAATTGCTCACAGGTGCAAGTCTTCATAGCCATTTCAACGGTATAAACCTTCCGTCAGAACCATGCACACTGTACTCAAGATGAAAGCTGTTTAACTCTTCCACCGTGAGAAACCCCGCTTCAACACATCTTTTAGACATTTCATCTTCCACAACAGGTACAAGCTTCAGTGTGTATGGTATTTCAGCTGCCTTCTTCCTATACTTGTTAAACCATTCAGCAATTTTTGCAATGATTTCATCAAACATTGGTAGGAAAGTATACATTCTCGCATCCCTAATGACAACATTAAAAGATTCTGCTGAATTGGTGGTGTCAACATTGTACCTAACTCCCCGAAAGTAACATCTGGCCCATTTATGCTCTTCAAACACTTTTGTTAAGATACTCCGCTGCTTTAGGATACTTCATGCGAAAAGCATGATAAAGATACTTGAACTCCGCCTCTGTATAAGCGTGTGCACAATCTCTAAACTTGGATGCACAAGCATCTTTGTTGTTATGGACGTGGCTTTTAACATTCTGAGACAAATGCCATATACAATACCCATTTTCGGCCTCAGGGAACACTAAACGTACTGATTTGATTAAGCTTTTGTTTCTATCTGAAAGAAACACCAATCCCGGGACATCAGATATCACTAATTTCAACTGTTC